AGCACACTGTAGGGACAAGAAGAACACTGATTTCTGACTGGAGGGGACTTTAAGATAAATCTAATGAGTATATCCAAGTCAAACTGCAGTTATAATCTGAAGAACATGCTGTTAAATTGTAGCTATTGTCTTAAGCACTCTACAGTAGTTCTATTGATGCTTTCCTTTGAAGCCTTACTTTTCATATGTACTGGCTGTCGTCTTGTCTCCATTGTTGTCCATTTTTGTGACCCTGAACATTTTATAACCATGTTTGTCGTCACCTTTCATGCCCTCCCAGGTCCTGCTACGTAGTTTTCCCGTGCCAGCAGATTGTCTTGAGTTTAGGCTGTCTGATGGGTTTGGTAATGTTTGCTCGCTATGGAGAGAACAGCCCTCTGGACAAGGGCTATGTCAAAACTAATGACCAGGTAAACACTCATTTGCCTCTATGGTTCCCCAAAGTGGAGTGAATGTACAGCGTTTTTGTTATTCTTGAGTCTGGAGGTGCATCCTAATGTTTAGTTTCTTTGTGCAGATGGTGCTGTACTTTGTGATGGATGTGTTCAAAGATTTGCCCGGCCTCGCAGGACTGTTTGTGGCCTGTCTCTTCAGTGGAGCTCTCAGGTAAATGACCTTAGAAAACAGACAAAGTAAAGGATCATGTGCTGTTAAAGGCTTGCTCACAGTCAGTTACCAGGTTGTTGGAGGACAACTTGATTATAACAGCGAAGCTGATTCACAACTTGTTAGACTTCTACCTGGTTCTTCACAACATATTGTTTGGTTGTTTAGTTTATCAGATGAATTTATAATATTTGGCATCATCCCTATCAATAAAAAAATAAACCCTGGCAATAACATGCCTGTTTGACAGACTAGATTATTTTATGTACTGAGTATCAAAGTATCAAAGGCAAAGAGCAGTAACTATAGGAGCAGAGAATCTGAGAAAAAACTGTAAAACAGTTTGTACTAATTGGAATGCCTTCATTTTACCACTCTTAGGATTATTTTTTACCCCATTTTTTTTTCTATTGAACACACAATACATAAAAAATGCAGATGCTGCTATGTCAGAGGCTTTCACTTGATACAGCCATTTTGCTTTCTACAGCATAGAGAGAGTGCAGTTTAGTGTTGAGTACAGAAACTACACAGCCAAAGTGCAGATACTGTGTTTTTGGCTTTCAGGTCAGTTTTTGTAGTTAGTGCACGTTTTAAAAACTTTCACAGAAATTACACATTTCTATGGCAGAATATTTTTTTATATAGTAAAACCAATTTAATTTTTTTTTCTCCTCAGTCCACTTTTAGCACAACATGGCATCAACCATGACAGTTTCACATTAGGTAATCCCTGCTCCATGCAACAAGAGGTGATAAATATGAAGTCATAAATTATTTGTTAACCCTTTAAGCGCCAAAGTCGCAAAATTGCGACAGGACACGGTACTGAATTAAACAGCTGTTTTCTCCGT